TTGGTCTCCAAATAGAATTTTTGCCAACAAAATTTACAAGATTTTTTATCGAAGAGGCGAAGCTGTCGACTGATTAGGTGTCTATGCAACAAAGCTGAGAGAAAATGGAAATACATTTTCATTAGCAATGCTGCAGTTTGCTCGTACATTTGAATGTCTTGGTTCCAAGGATCTGAGCTGTGATCGTTTTATTAAAGCTGGGGTCCATAGCGTGATGTCATCAAGGAGAGGAGGAGATTGTTTTTTTTTTTTGAAAGATTAGAGCCCCCTCCCCTTCTGTAGGCAGCTAAACGCCACGACTCATACCACCGCACACACAGTTTTCCCCAAGGACTTTAAATTTGTTTAAAATTTCTTTGAGAAGCAATATTGGCACTTGTTTTGGCTGCTTCTTCATTGGTGTGCTAAGCTGACTGGGGAAAACTCTTGTTAATGTACAGCGCCCTCTTGTGGATACACTAATGTATTGGTCAATGTTCTAGGCTTGAGTAAATGATTTGTTTTTCTGTATAGGCCAGGGGAAACACTGAGGGGGAATTATACATTTTGAACAATTACCTACTTTTTATCACAGAAAAGGGTCAGATTGTAAAATTTCAGCACTTTTTAATGTATTCTTAGTTTAAAATATCAATTTTAATGGTGATTCGGGAGCAACACAACAGGACTAATAGACTTGTTTTAGCAACACGTGAATAAAACACACCTTAACAACAGAAGGCTGCATAGTTTAAAGAGGTCCTTCACTGAGAAACTGTTTTACTCATGTTTAGAAATGATCAGTTACTCTGAGTCTTCACCCGTGTTGGGAACGTTACTTTAAAAAAGTAATTAGTTATACTTACTGATTACTTTGTCAAAAAAGTAACTCGGTAGCTTACCGAGTTACGAGATCATAAAAATAACTAATTACCAAGAAAACTAAATACTGAGTTACTTTTTCATTAAAGAATGCAAGAAAAATGGGTTCCCCTCTTAATTAAACTTACTTAATTTACTATAAATTACTACATTAGTGAAATATAAATGACTAATGACTGGAACATAATAAAGTGTGTGTCAAAATGTTTTTATAAACCTGAATAATTTAAATAAATAAGCACTTAACAGGAGGAACTACTAACAGGAACATTACACTTATCTAGACTATTAAAAGGTCACTGTGTGATATTTAACAAGACCCCAATCAGCTAAAATTTAAAATTGCAAATAGAAACACCTGTAAAGGTTACCAGCCTTTAAATGGTCTCTCAGTTTAGATACATTACAGAAATAAATGTAATTTTGCACAGCATTTTAATTTTTCCAGCTTCACATAATTGTGTGTTTTTAGTTGCATTTCTGTTGCTGGTAATCTAGTAATGGTTAAATAAATAAATAAATAAATAAATAAAATCCTTTAAAATGACACTAGAAGAGGCACAAGCCTGATGGAGGACTTACATTTACTAACTTGGGTCAGACCCAACCACAGAAGAACATAAGCTGGGTGGTAAACACACACAGGTAGTTCTAATAACACCTGAGCTCCATGACGTCTGAGACTGATGCATCAGTGTTACAGCGGGACTAAAGACATGATCAGAAACACGTTACAGCTGGATGATCTAGGAAGGCAGAAGATCAGGACGTCTGAGCGGTGAACAGTTGAGCGGACCTTCGGGACGTCCCGCTGTCACGCTAAGAAGGGCACGGCTGCAGATCCACACCTGCAGCTGTAGACTATTCATCACGTCTTCCTCGTTCTTCACGGGCTGTGATGCGCTTGGATGAAAACATCTGCCTCTTTAGATCCTGATCAGCTGATGACAGCTTCAACACACCGCGCTGCTTAACAGAAACGACGTTTTGATTTAAAAAAGACGGTAATTAATTTGTTTGCTCGTTACAGAAAATAATGTTAACGCGGTTATTTTAATCGGCGTTATTCCCATCACTGCTCTGTTGGGTCTCCAGCATGCAGCGACTGAGACAGGGAGAACACTGAGGGTCTCCGCCCACCCGGCCAATCACCATCGTGTTTGTTACCGACACCTCTCTCTCCCTGGCTGCAGCTGAAGTGTGGCGGTCAGAAAGCCTCACACTGCTGCTCAACGTTCGACAAGCACATAGTAACGCACAACCTTCCGTCCCCAGTAACGTAACGGTTGCAACAGTGGGAAAAGTAATTAATTAGATTATTCCGTTACCTAATAAAGAACGTCGTTACACTTAAACGGTGTTACTCCCAACACTGGTTTTCATGCAGGCTGAATATGAAAATAGTCTCCTACACCTACCTCTTGCATGAGCTTCTGATAGAAAACAAACGGTGAAACTCAGATTTGAAAATCTTGACAGATCTACGTCACACTGTCATTTATCATTCATGGACTCACCCATTTTGACTCACAACGGGGAAGGCTGTTGTTTTAACATCCAAGAAACAGCAGAGAACGTCTCCACTAGTAGCAGCTAACCGTTAGCATTAGCAACTCCACCGCTCTTTTATAGGCTTGTGTTGTTTGTGGAGAATAAAACGAATGCTATCCAACCTGAGGAGAGATGTTCAATTATTAGGAAAATAAAACTCCAAATCCTGTTGTCTGAAGCCACTTTCTCATCTGGCTGACTTCTCTGTGCTGAAACAGGTGCACCGGAGCTCCCCCCCCCCCCCCCCCCCCCCCCTCCCAAGAAAACAACTTTCAAGGCAGACATTCCTCCTAGAGACCACTGCAGATGTATTACAAATTTGAGTAAAGGACCACAAACCAACCAACCTACCTATAATTTGGATTCCTTTCTAAATTAAATTGAAGTCTTTTGACATTTTAATCCCAGTAAAAAGGTGTTTTTATTGGGCTGCTTCATGTGAAAGGATCATTGTTGTGTTACTGTACTCGGGTTGTTGACAGATGGAGCATCAGGACAAAGGATGAGGAAAACCATCAGTTTGAACAATTTTTGTTTTCAGCCTCTTTAGTCCTTCTGTTATCAGTATGTAGGTCTGTTGCTGTACTCTTTCTTATGTAGAATTTCAAAAACACACCAGAATGTTACCGTTACGGCGAGTGAGACACGTGGAGCCAAACAGGATGAAAAACTCCAGCCTGTGAGAGTGGAGCACATACGGAGAGCCAATCAGAGCCAGCGTGGGGCTTGTTCAGGGTTCCAGGGACTGAAGAGCAGGACTCAAGCTCGGTCACAGCAGATGTCACTTGTTCTCAAGAGAGGAGAGAGATTAGAGATGGAGGAAGGAGATAGTGTCTCATCAGGACGCAGGACTGGATGGATGAACGTCTGTTAGAGAGGCCAGGCGGTGAAGAGGGAATCATTCGTCATTTTGTCCGCATCCTGCTGGCATGGATCAGATCTCTCAGGATGCAGAGAACCCTTGGTTATTGCTGAGGGATGTTTCGTAATGTCCACATCACATTGAAAGGTGACCTTTATAAAAGCACACGTGTAAAATCGTCCAAATGTTCTCCATGAAGGTCTTGGATCGATGCATTCTGGTACAGGTGATCCCTCGTTTATCGCGGTAGATGGTTTCCAGACCTGGCCGCGATAGGTGAAAATCCGCGAAGTACGGACACCATATTTACAGTATTTATTTAACAGGTACGTATTCAGTATTCAGACTTTTAAAACCCTCCCTTTACATAGAAAAAAAAGTACTTGTTTTTTTATAGTTTTATTACAAAAAGTGCATTTTATGATGAAATTGATGAAAAAAACAGGAATTTCTTGATATTTCGCATAGAAAAATACCGCGAATCTGTGAAAAATAACGCGAATCGGCAAGTTTCCCTTGAATAAGGCTCCAAAGAAAAAATCTGCGAAGTCGTGAATCCGCGATAAACGAACTGCGAAGTAGCGAGGGATCACTGTATTCTCACGCACTCGTGTGTCCTAATCACATCTCAGTTTGCCCCTCCTAAAGCTGCTGTGGCAAAGCTGCAAAACAAGCTAGCTTAAAACATGTTTCCAACGTTATAGTTCTAACGTAGTACTGCTATGAATAAATTGTGGAAATAAAAAAAAAAACATTTATAATGAATTTATTGTCTAATAACTCAGACCATGACACAGCTCGGTTCAAAACCAGCGACTGGACCATCCGGTTGTCGGCCTCATCACACTTCCCTGGGTCCTCCACTCATTACGCACCACGGTGTGAGAGGTTCTCCACTCAATAATATCAGAGAAGGAGAAACAGCCGGCTGCTACTTCACCTTTAGAACAAACTACCAGAGTCCCAAAAAGAAGAACACCGTTTGAAGTCACAGACAATAAAAGACGTTTGGACCTAGAAAATGACGACCGGTGTTTAACGCTATCTCGTTTCCTCTGGCCATGCTCATTTCGTTATCAGGGGGGGCGTGGCCTAGAGATGGTGTGGGGTGAGTGTTTCATGACCTTGTTTGTGTTTAAAAGCTAGCTTGTTTTACAGATTTGCTTTTGCAGCTTTAAATCTCAGCAGCATCATGCTACTGAGCAACTCTTCATACTGAAAACTAGAGTTAGATGTTAGCATGGACTGAACAAACCGGTAAGCCCCTCAGATAAGAGCTCAGGCTGTTCGGGTACTCCTCGCTCCTTATTCCTTTCATTTTTCTCCCCAAATTGGGTTTTCTCTTCCACTTGTTCACTCTGGTCTGAGGACAACTTCTTTAGAACCCGCTCCGAGGTCCAGAGAAGGGCAGAGGGAGGATTTTTAGGGCTGATGTCACAGACAGTTGTTCCTCCTCTCAGTGTTCACCCTAAGCTTCTTCACCCTTCCTTCTCTCTGGAGAGGTTTTCTTTTATGGGTTGGAAACTGAACTGGCCCTTGGACTCACACCCAAACCAGACTCTAGGGAGACAGTCGACCCGTCGGTTGGAGTTTCACGGCTCCAGATCTTTCCGTAAAGCGGTATTTTAACAGAAACTGTCTTGCGTCTCCCAGGCAAAAATTCCTGTTTCAGGAGCGACAACGAGTCATCTCTTTTTTTTTTTTTTTTTTTTGTCTTCATGTTCAGTACCAGCAGGAGATTGCCGTCCTCCAGGAGAAGCTGCGAGCGTCGGTGCAGAAGCTGGAGGAGTACGAGGCTCGTCTGAAGGGCCAGGATGAGCAGGCGCAGAAGGTTCTGATGGAGTACCAGGCCAGGCTGGAGGAGTCAGAGGAGCGCCTGCGCAGACAGCAGGATGACAAAGACCTCCAGATGAAGAGCATCATCAGCCGGTAAAGAGATGCAGACAAGTCTGGACGTGTTGTTGTTCATTTCTGTGACTTAAACTTTTTCCTGACACGTTCAGGTTGATGTCGGTGGAGGAGGAGCTGAAGAAGGACCACTCTGACATGCAGGCAGTCGTGGACTCTAAACAGAAGATAATCGACGCACAGGTCAGTTTGCTCTAACGAGTCCTCCGACCGGAGCAAAAACCCGTCCTGTAAAGACTTCTGGACTCCTAAAGCACACAAACAGTCACAACCTCAGGTGTATTTTTCTTCTTTAACGTCAAAGTGCGGAAACAACAGAAGGAGGGGGTGTGGGCTGAAACATGACATTAATGCAAACTCAGAAACAAACACACAGGTAATTAATCTCCTTCACGCCCACAGTAATGAGCATTAGTGTCTGCAGCCTAACAGCTCAGTGAGGCAATACGTGTTCCCAGGCAGTAAACAGGCTGCAAGGAAGAAACTTTTGGTTTATGCTTGACGCGTTTACGCTCCGCGCTGTGATGCGGCTCGCGGATGGAACGCGCTTCACAGCTTGCAGCGTTTATGGTTCGTGCGGCTCGTCTCTGCGGTGAGCCAATATTCTCCCAAACTGTAGGGGGCAGCATGGAGCTCTACGGCATGCATCCAACACTACACCATAGTAGAAGTAGAAATTACTGTTTACAACATGGCATTCCAGCATTTTTTAACAGCGTCCTCGTCTTTTCCGACGGTGCGAGCTATTTCTCTCCAAGAATTATTAACAACATGTTGATCACGGTGATCTCCGAGAGCTGAATCATACAAATGTCTGTATTTACGAACCTCTGCCATACTAGTTCTTGCCAGTCCGAAATGTTTTTCCGCGTCCGACCGTCCGCGTGGTTAGAAAATTTCCTAGGTGCGAGGTGCGGAAAGTTTGGGCCGTGCGGAGGCGCGGTGGAGGGGCGTGGTTGTTAAAATGACGCAACTTTTCCGCGCGGAGCCGTGCGAACCTCGCGGACGCGTCAAGCATAAAGCAACCTTTAAAAGGCTATTACCAAGGCGGAGCCTGCAAATCATCACAGCATCTCCCAAAAACCGGTTAGAAAATGATTCACTTTTATTTATGGTACCTTTATTTGAATTATTCTAGAGTTTGGCTGTTCAGAAATTTGTGAAAATAAGAGCTGGTTAATGACACACTTGGCAGTTTTGGCTTGCATTTAGCACCTCCTAGTGTTCGTTTAGTAGAACCAAAAGTGAAATGTATCTCGTTGCTGTGTGTTCGTATTTTAGTGCGACACTCTGGCTATAGAGCAGGGGCAGCAGTAGCTCAACAGGTTGAGCTGGTTGTCCAGTAATCGGAAGGTTGCGGGTTTGATCCCAACTTTGGACAGAGAATTCTGCTGTTGTGTCCTTGGGCAAAACACTTAACCCACCTTGCCTGCTGGCACCAGCAGTGTGACTACATCGTAGCTCATCACCATCAGTGTGTGAATGGGTGAATGATACACTGTAGTGTAAAGTGCTTTGAAGTCCTTACTCTGAGAGGTGCTATACAAGTGCGGGTCATCATCATAGAGGGTGGTAGGGGTCTGTGACTTTTCATTAAAGAGCAAGTCACCCCCTACCAGAGTCTAACTCCACTCCCACTTCATGTTTGAAAAATGCAACACATGCTGTTGCCTGGCAGACCGAGAAGGCGGAGCTGCTAACAAATACACACACACAGGCTCACGACAGCATTGTGACATCATAATGTACCAGTTTACATCATAGCATACCTCTTAGCCAATAGCGGGGGCAGATTTAAATTAAAATACAGAGTTTTTACCTGACAACGGCACAACACTGCCAGTTTTAGGCAGAATATTTAAATTTTAACTAAGATGCACTGAAGTGCCAAATTATTGACCACATGTGTCTGAAGCACGATTAGACACTCGTTTATTTAGTTTATCAGCAAAAAAAAGTCCATTTGGGGGTGACTTGCTCTTTAAAGGGTGATCTTGGCACATACTGGCTCAAGAAAATTATTTAAACAATATAAAACTTGCATACTATCCCTTTAAACCCTGGTTGAATGTTTTAATGCAGATCATACATGGTAAAAAAAAAGGTAAAACTGCCTTTATTTGATATAGCGCCTTCTAGTCTTAGAACCCCTCAAGGCACTTTACATCAGGACCAGTCATTCATCCACTCACACCAAGCAGCAGTGGCTCAGGAGGTCGAGCGGGTTGCTCAGTAATCAGAAGGTTTCGACCAGAGAATGCTGCTGTTGTGTCCTTGGGCTGGTGGTGGTGGTTTGTGTTTGGCAGGCCTCTCCTCTGTCAGGGCAGCTGTGGCTAACATCGTAGCTCATTGATTGTGTTGTGAAGCGCCTTGAGGGGTTGTAGAACCCTAAGAAGGCACAACACAAATACAGGCCATTTACCATTTTGATACTATTTAACACCCTGGTGGTGATGAGCTACACCATAGCCACAGCTGCCCTGGGGCACACTGACAGACGCCATCAGTCCCTCCAGGCACCACCAGCAGGCGAGGTGGGTTAAGCATCTTGCCCTAGGACACAACGACAGAGACAAACTGAACGAGGCTTGAATCTGCAGAGAGCACTTAGCTCCTATGCCACCGTCGCCCCATGAAAATACCTCCTAGCCGAGGAGAACAACAGAATCCTGCCTGGACTTTTCTGTTTACAGAGAACCGTAAAATACTTGTTATTGTTGATCGGTCACTGAGTCATGCATGACGAACGTGAAAATAGTCTTCATCCTCTATTTCCTTTAACTGCTGATAGAAAATAGACATGAAAACAATAGAGTCAGAAAAAGACGCTCAGCTCTACGTCACATTCATTAGCGTTCATGGTTGCGTTTCTGTTAGCCTACCAGAGGTGAGATGTTTGCATATCTAGAACATTAACGATCAAGACACCAAATCCTGTCATTTTCTGCCCTCGCTCCAGCTAACTTCTACTTCCTGTTACAGGAGCACCGGAGCTTTTTTTCCACAGAGAACAAGTAACAAATGAAAATCAAAAAATTAGAATGTCAGCAAAAAGTTCATTTATTTCAGGAAAAGGGGCCCAAACCAAGCAAAATCCTTGTTTTATTGATTTTATGTACTATTCTAATTGAGATTTTGGATGTGGGGTTTTCATAAGCTGTAAACCATTATCATCCAGTTATAACAAGTAAAGGCTTGAAATAGCAGGCTCTTCATCTAATGAGAATGTCTCATATATTTGTTTCACTTTTAAGTTGAATTACTGACATGAATGAACTTTTGCATCATATTCTAATGTTTCACCTGGATAGTAGAGACCACGCCAAACCAACATCACCAGACGTTATCGTTTTGATTGTGTTTGCAGGAGAAGCGAATAGCATCTCTGGATGCGGCCAACGCTCGTCTGATGAGCGCCCTGACTCAGCTGAAGGAGCGCTACAGCATGCAGACCCGCAACGGCATCTCCCCCACCAACCCCACCAAGCTGCAGATCACGGAGAACGGAGAATTCAGAAACAGCAGCAACTGCTGAACAGAGCTGACCTCGAGTGTGTGCTGAGTGTGTACAGTTTATCTGGCGAGAGGACGCGTCTCCCCGCCTGCACGAGAGACTGAGACCGCGTGGGCGTGCGCTCACAGCAGACAGTACTTCCGGAAAGACTTTTTAAGAGATGGTGTAGGGGAGTAATGGGCATTTTTCCAGAGGAGGGCGACCTTCATCATGAGGGCAAGTGGAGGGGCGGAGCTTGTATATAAGAACTCACGGCTGTCCATCAGGCAGACTCCGACGATACGTGGTCACCGGGGCGAACCACTATTTAACCACACACACACACACACACGCACAGCCAGGACCACCAAAAATGGTCGCCCTAGCAACTATCCTCTCCTCCTTTTCTATCCCTCTCCTTCTTGATAACAAAGTGGAGCCATTAACACCAACAAGATTGCAGATTTTCACTTTAGCCGTCTCGAGAGGTTCGCGTTTTAAAGCTTTACTTTGAAGTGTTTCTGAAGAACCAAATATGAGCTAAAAATAGATCATTTTAGTCCAAAACAATCAACTTTGCTTCCCTTTGAACTTGTGGGTGTGTTCCTGAATGTCCCGCCGACCCCATGCAATGCACTTTGCAAGAAGCTATTGGTACGTAAAAGGCCTTAACTAAGGAACACACGTCCACCTCACCCCTCAGCTCACCTCGTTTCTGCAAAAAACCAACTAAAAGGCACAACTTATACTGTGGATTTGTAAAGAATACAAAACTAAACTGCAAACATTTAGATGTATAATAAAATCAGAAGTAAATGTAGTACTATATTAATGAAATTTAATATAGATGTATGCATTGTTTTCTTCTATAGAGTATACACACATATATTTGATAAACTGACAGATTAAAGAGCCCATTATTTACGAGTTTTCGTCTATGGCGAGATTGTGGCGTGCAGCTCACATCGGAGCGCTGGAGGTGGGGACGACACTGAGCAGTGATAGAAATATCCACGCCGCACCGTATCTGCAGGAGTTTCAAAAAATGATGCAAAGTTTGCAGTGAAACAGATCAAGAGTCACGGTTTCGTCTCTGTTTTTCTCTCTGCACTGGAGCTGTTGAAGGTGCATTGAGATGCGCTCACTCACGCTCTACTCTGGACCAGTGAGCCATCGCTATGGCCGCCATTAGTTCCATCCCCTCTCCCAACTGCTTTAATTGTCCGTGGTGATGAAGTAGGCAAACTGTGACGATCCTTGTAGCAACACCTAACTCATCCGGATTTCTTTCTCTCGCCTTGTTTCTATCTTTCTATCCTGCAATCTTACAGTTGGTCCTAAAGTCGTCACTCTTCCATCTCGCCATGTGTGATTTGTATGTTTGCTTCAGGGAAGAAACAAGAACACAGACTTTAAACATGAGGCAGGAGGCTCTGCATGCTTCATCTTTGCTTGACAGCCGAGCGTAGCGTCAGTACAGGTTGTTTTCCTGGGTCGCCAGTCAGACGGTGATGATGAATGCTTGCAAATGCAAAAAATTATATATATATATAATTATATATGTAATTATATGTATGTATATATATAATTTTATATTTATATATATAAAATTTTATATATATATATGTATATATAAAATTTATATATATATATACATAAATTGTATATATATATTTATAATTTTTAATATATATATATATATATATATATATATATATATATATATATATATATATATATGGTTGAGTCCGTCTATAGACAGGGAAGCCCCGAAAAGTGTAAATAAAATGCTAGCACTATTTTTAGCAGATGTTAACAGCTTTTTGTAAATGCATCTCGTGCTGAGACTCTACTGTATCATTATCGATATTGTAAATATGAACTAGCCCTGTCAGTCATCGGTCCTCATTGGGTAGAACTACACAATTCAATTATCCTGTCAGTGTTTACTCTGTTAACGCTTTTGTGTTCCTATTTACGTTATATTATCACTAGCCAAAAAAAGAAGAACGAAAACAACAGAAAACAAAACTGATGACGTAGAAGTTCGACTCCAGAGATGTTTGCCTTGCTGGTTTCAGGCCAATTCGAGTCCGATGAGAAACGCAAGCACAATCCTTTAATTCTCATCCGTCTAGCACTTTTACATTGACTCGTCGGGTTTTTATAACTTCTATTTAGTCGTATTATTTTTAATCATGAGCCTGTTTTATGTTTTTAAAATGTGCCAAGGTTCAACATTGACTGAATAAATGTAAAGGTTGTGCATTCGTTTTCACATCGGATGATGAATTTCTCTTTTTCAAACAGAACCAAAATGTTTCACAAGAAATCAGAACATTCCTAACCTTGCCTCTGATCCAGTCTTATAGGTTACCTTCTCAGATGAAAGCCAGACGATGAGACGTGAAAAAAAAACTAATTCGTTTACTTCTGTTGTTTTACCCGCATGTTTATGGACTACATTAAATATGGTTTACAAGTCCATAGTAATACAAAAATATAAATTGACAATAACCAGTGATGATTTGTTGACATTTTTATGCACACTGTAAATAAACTACAGGCCCTATACTGAAAGCCATTGTTTTAATATTGCTTCCATAGGAAATCTTCCCCCACCTCCCGCAAATTATAAATCAGCCCACATCCTTCAGATTTTCCTTTTCTTTTAGTAAACATAGAAATCCTCCTGCTAAGATACACAGAGCATGCTTTTTCTCAGTTTCCATCCTTTTTTTTATTTTTTATTAAAGTACCTTTACTTGGGCAATTCTGTTAGCATTTTAGCTCAAATAGTTTAATATTTTACTTAAAGGTACAATGAATAAGAATTCTACTGTGAAATAATGTCTAATGTCTCAATCACGTTGGAAGGAAGTTGCAGATTTCATTGTCTGACAGCTGGTGGTTGCCAGTGTTTTTCCTTTAAAAATTGCCAAAGAGGGACATGTTCACTGTGTACAATCTGTGAGCCTGCGGCATTACACCACCTAACGCTGCCGAACCGGCATTTGTAATTGGACACCGGCGGGAAAACGCAGCAGTGTTTTTTAAAGAATCAAAATAAGCAGGAGCGACCCAGAAGTTATATCTTGTAGCTCTAAGAAGCCACGGCATCCTTTTGTTTTACTCTAATATTGGATAAAGAAGGCTAACGTTGAGCTAACAGTGAATGAAAAACAAATAGTCGGCTTAAAAAAACAAACTCAAGCTACTTTTTCTATTACCAACAACTCATTACAGTGAAATGCTTTTATCTACTGTGCATGACTCGTCATCCAGAGTCTTCTGGTGCTGAGCGGCCAACAGCCATGACACTTACAGAACTTACAGAACAGCACTTGTTTGTTTGCAAAATGGACTGAATTACCACATTATGCACCTTTAATCGTTTGTCCAAATTGAAAACTTTTACTAAATAATTCAGCAAACGTCTCATAATCTGGCTTTAAACCTTCTGAACCTAGAACGAACCTGGCAGATTTCTGTCATGGCCACTGGCGCCCACCATGTTTTGATTTCAGAAATAGGAATATCCAGAGTTTCCTCTAACAAAGACGAATCAAACTATAAAGCTCTAAGTGAAAGATGTATGTTTTCTATTTTATTGTAGAAAATAATTTTGTAAGTATGTTGAAAGTATAAAGTATTTGCTGGATTCTGCTTCCTTTGATGACAGTGACAAAACAATAATGTACAGAAGAAATTGTGTTGACAAAATGTGGCTGTGCAATTTATGTACATTTGCAGCTAGACCTATTAAAGTTTTATTTAGCTATTTTAAAGTCTAGTCCCATGTGTTTTTGTTGTGTTGCTCCCTGTCATGCTTTACATTGTGAAATCAGGAAAAACGCCATATTTGAAAAGTGTGTGGGATGAATCCCGTGTTAATGAAATACTCAGGGAGGCTACAGAGAACATCTTCTCAGCCTTTAGATCCAAAAGCAGAGTGATGGAGATGTGCGAAGGGGAAAAAATATAATGGTTTCAGCAGCGCCATCGACTTCCTTCGCAAGCCTGACCTACATACTGCCTGACTGGTATTATCCACAATAGCAGAAATCCCAGAAGTCCTTTACAGCACAAATGGAAATTTTATAGCTTTACAAAATAATATGAAAGTTAAAACGAATAAAACATATTAATATGATGCTTAACTAAAAATACTGCTGGTTTTGAACTGCTGCTTGTGAGTAAAACATTAGAGCATCAAGCCTAATAAAAGTATTACTCTTATTAATTGTACACTTCCATACAGCTAATTTAAGATGACATTTTAAATCCTCTAACGAACATCTTCCACCTTCGGTGCTTTTGGAATCAATTGAAACTAAAATCATGTTTTGCACAATGTTGAGTAATGTAGTCTTCCCATTGGTTTTGTGAAATGACCGTTTACTGACTTTAACTTAATTTTAGTCTAATTTGTGTTTACTATTGTTGATTAACAGTTTTTGGCCACCTTGGATTAGATTAGACTCTGAAAATAAATCGTAACTTTCCAGGAATGCTACTAACTTCCATCCAGTGATTGAAGAGACTTTGAAAATCAGGTTTTAGTTTTCTCTCACTCACCTTTCGTGTTACTGTGTGGATCTCTACTTTATCAACACTCCAAACGTGAAAAGAACATGCCCACCATTTTCCTGTTAGCCTTCGGTTTCAGGAAGTAAATGCCTAAAAGGAGCCGTTTCAAAAGTCCCAGTTTGTGATGTCACAATAGAAGTAATCTGTATAGAACTCCTCTCACCTGTCAATACTTAAGGAGCCCCAACTCTACTCTGAGGCCTTCCTTGAAATCGGAGCTTCTCATCTCATAGCAGCCAATCAAGATGGGTGGGTGTGGCTAGATAAAGCTTGTTTCTTAAAATGAAAGAGCTCTGAATCGGCTCACTATGGAAGGTACTGAAAATGTCGAGAATAAAACTTCGGCAATATCTTTGTGACAGATTTAGTACAAAGAACGTAATTATGTTTTGTATCAACCACAGATAACTTAAATAAATCACTACTTGTCTCCTTTAATGAATCACTTCCTTTCTGCAAAAGGGCGGTTTCTGGATAAAACTATATTCATAATTTAAAGTTGCAGAAAGTCTTCTAGAGGATAAAAGGTAGCACATAATTCTGACTGATGACAGCCACAGCTGTCGGACCACTGGGCAGCAACAACAGCATTACCAAAACACACTGATGAATACAGGCACTGGAGCTACCGCCTCCTCTGGGACCGCCAGCCTCCGCAACAGAAGGTCGAGGAAACACAGGCAGATGGTTGTGCTGTGAAACATATCGAAAGTCTTAAAACAGAAAAACGAGTCGTTTCCGAGTCATCCATCAGCCTCGTTGAAGCTGTGAAGCCCAGCTGGAGTAAAATGTTTATCCCTCCACTTCAATCACAAACAGCCACCGTGAAAACCGTGGTCTTCGGCTTAAAGAGCAGTTTAATTCTGCAGCCTAATAAGTACATTTCATTCACATCTGCCACAGTTGCTAAGCTCGTACATTTACTTCATATCACCACCACTGCAGTAACATGTTAGCCCCACAATACCACTCAGTACACAGGTCAATCCACTTAGTGTTTTTCACAGCTGCCCACACTGCATGTGACATAAATCTTCAAAATGGTGCAAAACGTGAAAAAGTAAAGATAACTGTTAGTGCTAACTGTTAGGAAGCAATGGCTATTGTTCTGCTTGTGAACCATCATGTCACTTCTAAAACACGTCTATGTTCAATATTAAATTATTGTGCCATGCATTTACTGTTTTATCTGCAGTAATTAATTCCTTGTGGTTATTTGACTAAAACGTAATGAACCTAAGACACGGGCTGACGGGAGGTCTAGGGCTGCCTGATAGGAATAGCTGCTGAACTGAAGGAAGGATTAAGTGACGCTTATTCGCTTAACTCGTCACTAATGGGGTAATAGAAGAGGAGCAGCTGAGCCGCTCGCTGTCAAACACAAATACTAAACAACACGTGCATGCCGACGCCCAGCTGACGAGTCCCCCAGTAATGTGCAAATGCATTAGTCTTAAAGAGCTGCTGTGCAAATTTATGAATAATACACTCCGGATGCTTCCCTACATTGCTGTCTGACGCCTCTGAAAGGTGAGTTTTGGTGTAAATGTTGAAAGCAGCCATGTCCTCCTGCCAGGATCACACTGATGATCCCACCAGGAGGAAGGAGGAGGAAGGAATCCGCCAGCCTCCTTACATCTTTCTCCATTTCTACTTCATCCCCCCTGAGGACGTCTTCCCCGCTGTAAGAAAACGCAATCAGGGCTGAGAACAGTCTCCAGACGAGTCCGCCAGCAGGGGTCAACATGGTCCCTCTCTGGAATGGACCCTTAATCTCCACCACTCCTGTGGAGACGGCAGAAGGCAATGTTTCAGCGTTGGATGACCGGTTCCCTGACATCAGTTCTCCACGTTAGTTCGGAGTGTGCGAGGCTTGAGTTTTTGATGCAGCCTGTAGTCGTGGCTGGTCGCCCTTCTCTGAGTGGCAGGAGAGCTGGACTGAGCGTCGGGGAGGCACAGCGTCTGAGTCCTGGCAGCTCGAGGCGGCGCCCTGCTGCAGCTCAGAGAGCGCCTGTCCTCCACGCTGGACGGAGGCCCCAGCTGAGCCTCACACAGGCTGAGCAGCGACACTACCTGCTCCTTCAGCACGAGGAATTTGAACCTGCGGCCCGCCAGGTAGAAAAAGGCTTCCACAAATGCTTGGAGCCCCATTCCTAGAGAGGAGGAGATGTTCACTTCATTAAAATCAGGAGAAGACCGCATTTAAATCAAAATATTACTGTATTAATATTAAATAACAACTAATAAAACAGGAGAGAATGAAACTGGATATGAACTCCAAGTGTCTTGATAGATTTTGGTAAATGTCCCTTTAACTTCAGCCTTCTTCTTCACTCTGGTTTGAAACTAATGTCGTGTTGGTAACTCACCAGGTGACCCGGATCCGTTCATTTTCAGCCTGACCAGCTTGATTAATAACCTGCAGACTGAAAAGTGTCATTTCTTCTAGTTTGTGAACACATCACTAGACCAGACCTGGACCAACAGAACATGTCCATGTGGGACACTGGGACACGTTAAATACTTATCAAACACAATTTTTAGATCTCAAATACTGAAAAATGTAACAATAACCCAACAAAGTAAAAGGATTTTGTCACTAATGAATCTGACCAAATCGTTTAAAATAGTACAGAATACATAAAAACCTATGCTTGGATGAAGAAAAACTGCTGCTTGTAAACATGAAGTGAACTCAGCATCTATAAAAACAGCTCATGAACAGGATTCATTCATGTAATCTTCATGTATTTACCATTAAAACAAAAATCTCTTCGTGTTTTCAGGCGCTTGTATTTTAATCACAGGTATGAACTCAGCAGGTTTTATGCTTGATGTTCGAACAGAACCAGATCAGAACCTGTCAGTAAAAATAACAGGTCACCTGATCTTGAAGCCAAGTCTTTCTCCCGACTGTAGATCAGGGGTCTCCAGCCTGGTCCTGGAGGGCCCTGATCTGAATGTTTTAGGTGTTTCTCTGCTCCAACACACCTGATTCAATGGCGGAATGTTGCAGTCTTGTTCCAAAATGGATTCAATTATTATTCGTTTAAGATTCTACACCCAATAATGGACATTAAAAGTTGTTTCCTTTAGATTTTTGCAAATGGATTAAAAATGTCAGTGTAATGTAAATGTCAGTGACTTGATGCAATTTGCTGGGTTCCTTATATAGGAAACTTTTTTTTCAGATTGGCTTAATGAACTGACCCGAATTGGAATGTTTATTATGTGAAGTGCCTTGAGATGACTCTTGTCATGATTTGGCGCTATATAAATAAAATTGAATTGAATTTAAATAAAAACATGAGAATCAACAATGCTCAGTACTTTAATGCACTTTTGGCAGCAGTTACAGTCTCAGGCCCTTCTTATGAGGAGTGATGTGCTCGGTTCTCGTTAAGACTCTAGCAGCAGCATTCTGAATAAGCTGCAGTTGCTTCACAGCTTTGGTAGGAAGACCCGACTAAAGTCCAGCCTGCTGGAGATGAATGCATGAATGAGTTTCTCTAGGTCCTGTCTGGACATGAGACCTCTGCCTCTGAGTCTTTCTATTCGATGGCGATGATAGTGTGACCAGTGAAGCTCAGGTCTGAATCAATTGACACCAAGATCTCTAACCTTTGTCTTTATTCCCCTGGACCCAAGTTGAGCAATAATCTCCACCCTGTCCTTATTTCCAAAAACTCCAGTCATGTCTTTAATTGGAGAAGGTTTGATTGTTTCCAGTCATTGACTTGATCTAGACCAGGGGTGTCAAACTCAAACTCACACGGGGCCGAAATGAAACTCTGGGACGGAGTCGAGGGCCAAACTTAATGTTTTTTGAAAAAGTGACGGCAAATTTGCACATTTTCTTTATCAACATTTATGCAATTTTGAACCTTTAAATTTGGAAACAAACTTATTTCTGCATTAACACTGAATGTGGAATAACCAAATTACACACGAGCAAGTCAGTTTTAAATAAAAGGCATCAGTGGTATTCATTACTTGTGGTATATTCAGCATTTTTAAAATCTATTCAGGATTTATGTTTTCCTGTTTATTCATTTTTCTTATTTTTTATTCTCCTTTTGTTCTCCTGTAATAAGTGTCATCGCTGCTGTGACGTCTAGCTTTCCCCACTGAGGAACAATAAAGGGATTTTCTATTCCATTCATCCATCTGCAGCCTTTCCACTTCCTGTTTACTGTAGGTTAAATCTTTTCTCACGGGCCAACAACAAAATAAAAATATCATTTTATCTTAAATGAAAATGCAACATCTCACCTGTTAACTTTCATGTTTTGGAGCAGAAAAAGAGCATAAAACCAGCATATTTAAAGCTCAGTTTGCTCCACTGGTTTACTGTGATGCTCACCTGTTCCAGCCAGATACCTGCATCATGGGGTTGATCTGAGCTGAGGAGGAGACTCCTGTTGTTTTGTTCATCTTCATCATAATAATGACAGCATTAGATGACAACAGGTGCTCACATAGGTTTGTGCTGATGAACATGTCTGAGCAGCTTGACCACGTTGTTGTGTGTCGGGGAGGAAACACAACCACAGAGCCGTGCTGGTTTGAGCGTGTCGCTGCTCGCTGGAGTTATATCAGCTCTGTCTGGACGTTAGTTTGAAAACTTTCTCTTTCAGTCGTGAACACATTACTGAGCGGCTAGAATCTCCGTTTCTGGGCTTCAACGTCAGAAAACAGCTGAGTGAACTCGGCGCTGAGTGAGAGGAGTGTAGCTTGTCCGAGACAGCGGAGCTGCAGACACCAGCAGCAGACGCTAGAAAAAAACACAAAGGAGGGGGCGCGTCGGCCCCGCGCTGACGCCGCAAAGCATCATGGGAGTTGAAGGCTTTGCGGTAAAATCGGCCAGCGGGCCAGTTTTAATATATTTTTGATATTTATCTCGCGGGCCACATAAAAATGCTCTGCGGGCCGCATCTGGCCCACGGGCCTTGAGTCTGACATATGTGATCTAGACACTGACAGAGAGAACCTAGAGGACCACAGTCATTAGGTGATAAAGTTAAGTAAATCTGGGTTTCATCTCTATAACTATGATGGTAATGTTGTTATTGTACCTTACCTAGGGGGAGCATGTAGAGTTTGGAGTCTGAGGTCAAGAGTAGTGATGGGGAAGAACTTCGAGGCTTGTATCAAGCAGAAAGAGAACGTGTCCATATAGGCCAACTTCGAGGTTTGCTTCATTTAGCAAAAAAAATGACACGACTGGTCACAAATGAGGTCTCGTTTTACCTAAGTCACATCAATGGTTAGTTTTCTGTGTCACTTTTCAAAATAAAAGCTGCCGAAACTCATGGTGCTTTGTAAGCGGAGTTCGTTCCATGTGCCTATCAGAGTTTCAAGGGGCTTCTCTGGTAGAAAAAACACCTTATTTATTAGCGTTGGTAAGTTTAGTATTAGTGGCATTCTTTATTCTATTTCTGTCTTGACTTGTATTTGTGTTATTTTGATTTTCAGGGACAAAAAAGTTTTGGTCCGATTATGGAGGTGTAGGGAGGGGGGTGACAGTCCTCCAATCACATTTAATGGTGCTGGGGTTCACATTAGGTAGTCTTCCATGAGCACTACTCAATAGTCACTCGGACCGGTGCAGCTCAACGCAACCAGTTTCCAGCGATTGGCTAGAAAGCATACATGAGACTTCCTATAATTGGCTTCACTGGTGGACATGAATGACCACTTATAGACTCCAAGGCAGAGAGGAAAATTATCTCTGCCTGCCCTAAATAAAGTCTTGTTTATCTTTATCTGACGCCAAGGCAGCCTCCAAGGCTGCTTCAACACACCCCCACGAAAGGAGGAATGTTGACAGATGCTGTGTCCCGACCTTCCCCCCCTGCCTTCAGATTGTGACTTCTGCTTCGAGGTCGGCAACCTGCAGGAAACTCAATGTGCTCTCTGTCCCTCATTCCTCCCTCCCACCTGTCTGACTGCAGCTGGCTGATGCGCTGTAATGGCAGCTCCTGCTGGAGACTTCAGGGTCCCGCCCAACCCCGCCTCCCCATCGGACTCTGATGTTTTGTATCTGTGATGTTCGTGCTTCTATGTTGAGGAGTTTTTTTTTCGTATAAAAGAGTTACTCCCCGCTGGGTATAACTCTGCTATGCCTTTTTTTTACCTTACCCCCAATTATCCTCATGTAACACCCTTTTCATCTATCTATTAAGGTAGCGCGACTCATGTTGCGAATGACCGCAGTCACCAATTCTTGTCATGTGTCTTGCCCATGTATGTCTGATCTCTGAATTGTGTGTACTGAAACTCAATTTCGTTTCTCTGTATGTCTTGCACATGTGGTAGAAATGACAATAAAATGACTTTGACTTTGGCCAGCACTAGTCAAGAGCGCTCTGGAGCAGGTTTTAATCCAGGCTGTCTCTGCACACTGCTGCATTCATCTTTCCCTCTACCCTGATTAAAGTCTCCCGGTGCCTGCTGCTGACAAACATCCCCACAGCACGATGTTGCCACCACCATGCTTCAGGATGGTATTGGCCTGGTAATGAGCAACGTCTGTTTTTCTCCTGGCCTTCACACCAAAGAGTTCAACCTTTGTCTTATCAGACCCGAGAATCTTGTTGCTCACAGTCCAGGAGTCCTTCGATGGAGGACACGAAACAAGTGGGAGGTGGCTTGGTACGGAGTTGATTCTGGAAGCTGACTGCAGCAGCTCAGCAGAGCTGCATGTCTGCAGCGGTGTTGTATCATATTCTGTGGCTCTAGGGCAGAGTATTGAGAAAGGTGTTAGACCTTTTATTATTATTATTACTATTGTTGTTGTTTTTTTGTTTGTTTTGTTTTTAAATGTAGCTTGTTTGAACCACTTTTTCTAAGAACGCAGATGGTGCCTTTAAGCTGCAGAAACATCTCAAGCGTGGTCAGCAGAAACAGGGTGCACCTGAGTTTCGTGGTAAAGGCTGTTAAACGTATGTACGTGTGGTTAATCAGTTTTTAATCATTTATAAATTTGCAAAAATCTAAAAAAAATCACTTTTCACATGTCGCCATGGGGCATTGTGTGCAGAATTGTGATACATTTAGAATGCAATTCAATTCAAGTTTATTTATATAGCGCCAAATCCCGACAAGAGCCGTCTCAAGGCACTTCACATGGTAAACATTCCAATGCAGGTCAGTTCATTAAGCCAATCAGAAAAACTGCCTAGCGTAGTTCCTTTGATCTCCACAACATGTTCAAGCCTTTCTAAAAGAACATTGTGATCAACTGTGTCAAAAGCAGAAATGAGATCTAACAAGACTAGAACAGACACAAGATTCTTATCTGAGGCCATGAGAAAAAGGCTGTAACTTAACAAAATGTGAAAAGTGACGGACTGTGAAAACGATTCTGATTCACTGTACTTGTCCATCATAACCAGGCTCTGCAGAAGCCTGTTACACAGGTGTGTTAAAATCAGGTGTGAGAAACCCTTTTCTCTGCTGTTTTATACGGAAAAGTTATCATTTGGGGGAAAAAACTCTATTAAAGTGAACATATCCTTTTTTTGCTGCCATGCAAGATCTCTACTGCCTCTATAAACACTCCATATTTCAATAAAAAACATGCATCTGTTTTCTGTCTGTGCTTCATTTAGGAGTTATTTGCCTAAAATGAGCCATTTCAAAACGTCCCTTTTTGTGATGTCACAATAAGAGAAATTAGCATAGAAACCCCACTCTTAACTACTGACACTGGAGGAGCAGTGATTTTACTCTGAGCCCCTCTCACACGTTCAGGTTCCTCACCAAATAGCAGGTGTGTTGATAGGTGGTAGAAGGTCAATGTTTTAGCATAGGTGACCAGCAGAGGCCACTGTATTTTAAAGAGCACATTATGGTAGCACATAAAAGAAGACTAAATGTGGTGTTGCAAATAAAGTTTTTGAGCAGCAACTCAAACAAACAGAATGGTTTGCTGTGTGATCCTTCACTAGCCCATAAAGAACAACACAGCAGGGTGGGCGTGGCCAGACACAGCTTGCTTTCCTTAAAGGGACAGAGCCCTGAACAGGGTAACTGCAGGTTTAAGGGAGCCAAATTTAAGACTTTTTAAGACCTTTTTAAGGCCACTTTGACCAAATTTAAGCTATTTTTAAAATTATATTTAAGCTATAATTTTCAGCTATTGCCTGGAAATGGTGCTAACCACGTCGCGAACGTGGGATTAGCCATCCAGTTACCATTAAGCTTGCACTTCCCCATGGCGCAAGCTCCCACTAGCTTAACCAGCTAATGCGCTCATCTAAAAATAGCCCCCTTTCACAACCAACTGAATGTGTATGGTTCCGCTTACGCCAGCTTGCCAATCAATTTCCCTCTGGGATTAATAAAAGTATTTTTGAATTGAATTGAACATCATGCACCCAAAATGCTGAACACTAACTAGAAATTCACAAATTTTTTAAAGAAATAAAAGAATCTTGTTTATTGGGTCTTTGGTAATTTAAGACCTTTGGAAACTGGATTTAAGGATTATTTGTCATTTTTAAGGATTTTTAGGGCCTTAAATTTGGAAAAGCAAATTTAAGACTTTTTAAGACTTTTAAGGACCCGCGGATACCCTGCCTGAAACAGCTCATTATGGAAGGTAGTAAAAATGTCAAGCTGCTGAAATGCTTTAGGCAAGATGGAATTTGTGCAAAGGACTTGAATAGATTATAGAACTATAATAATCTTTAAAGGGGGTTATAATAAGTCCCCTTTAATATAGTTCTATTGCTAAGAGCATTCTCCAGGTTTGCTGCCCTCTCCTTGCCACGCCGAACACTTCATCCGTCTCCTTTACAACACAAACAAACCGATTTGGCCCTAATGTGGTTTTTATTTTATTTTATCACCTTTGAGGTCTTCCTGAAGGGCCAAAGGTCACAGCGACTCCAGATCAAACAGCAAATGAGAGACAAAAATCTAAGAATTTATATCCCACAGGTCGTCTCTGGATCTGCTACACTTTCTCTTCTCTCTCTGTCACGCACACACACACACACACACACACACACACACACACACACACACACACACACACACACACACACACACACACACACACACACACACACACACACTCACACACTCTCTCTCTCTTCAGACAATCTTCCATTTCCCAGAATACATATGAGCTCGTTCTAAATTCAGTCGACCATCTCCTCCATACAGAACCTTCCATCTTGGTCTGTGTGATCTCCAACCATCTACCCCGCTGCAAACATCCCTCACTAGGTGCAACGTCTGAATAATTCATGTGGGGCGGTCTCCTAGCTGTCAAACTGTGATCTCTCCTCATCTCAATTACGGGAGAAAGGTGTCAGAAGGAAGCGGACACAGAATGACAAGCAATTATGGGAGAGCACATCATTTGCTCAGAGTCTCAAGGATGTCCGACTCTGTCCACAGTGTGTGTGTGTGTGTGTGTGTGTGTGTGTGTGTGTGTGTGTGTGTGTGTGTGTGTGTGTGTGTGTGTGTGTGTGTGTGTGTGTGTGTGTTACCTGCTTCTCTGGAGTCTGGTATTGCACATGACCGTCTGCGTGTGATGTTTATGTAGAGGACGTCCACTGAGGCCATGGTGAAGTTGCTGTTGTTCAGTTTACAGGTCCTGCAAACACAGATGTTCTCACCCGATGGAAATCTGATTCAAGCAACCCTTTATACTTAAAACGATTGTAGATTTGTAACATAAAATAATAATTGTTTTGTTATTAGGAGACTTGTGTGCTTAGAGGAAAAGCCAGAGAAAAGGCAGAATGAACAACCTACAAACAGAAGAAAATTGTTCTCTGGTGTCTTTGTTTCAAAAGAACAAAACATGAGATAATAACCTTTATAACTGGGCCAGAGTTGAAAGTTTAAAAAGGAAAGAATGTGGCTGTTGTGTTGTGAAGTTTTATAACAAAACGTCTGTAGCCCAGACCTGATGATGTTTATTTAAAAAGAAAAGTCACAGCGTGATTAAAATAGAAATTAAATGGAATAAAAGAACAATTAATATTTTTAATGATCTAATCAAATCATCACTTCTTTCTAATTTCTCTCTAGGGCGAAAGGAAAAGTATTTAGGAGCAGAATTAAAATAATTTTGTTTTACCATCATTGTTCACATAAAGATTTATTAAATACATCTCAAATTAAAATTAACTCTAATATTTAAAAAAGATACATTATCCACTATGACACAACTAGAATGTTTACCTTGAGTACATAAAAATGTAAATAAATGGGGTAAATACCCATAATTCTTTTTCTGTACGATATCTGATTTTAGCAGTAGTGTTTCCCTTTCAGGAATCATGTAAGATTGGTTAGAAATCCATAACCCCGGGTTTCCACGGGAGCCGCCAGCAGCACGTTACTGCAGCAGCACGTCTTGCTCGCGTAAGCTGCTGCTTGGCCCTTCCCACGAGACGCGAAGCAGCAGGGGAGCAGCTGTCACCGACAGAGCACGAAGTCACACGAGTAACTTTGTCAGTAAACACAACAACAAGCAGGAGAAAACTACATCATGGTTTGTGTTTTATGTTCTGTCCGTTTTATAATCGCCAATACGGACCTGAAAAACAAAGGAGACCGCTAGCTAGGTGATAACTTCTCACGGGGACGCACAGTTAGTAACCTTTTTTAAAGTAAAGCAACCGGAAGGCAGTACGTTCTTTATTCTGAAAATCTCAGGAGCTTCTCTCCATTTCCGCGTCCGATTTCCTGTCTTTCCTTCCCCAAAAATGTCGAACTTGACCCGTTTCAGAGGCGTCGCGCGTAGAAAATAGAACCGGCGCGTAAAGGCCGCGACATGCTGCTCCTGAGACGCGGCCGACTCGCGCTGCTGACGGCTCCTGTGGAAAAGGTTCTGTTGACCACAGCGGTTCCTATCAGCAGCTATGACGTGCTGCTGCAGTAACGTGCTGCTGACGGCTCCGGTGGAAAGCCGGGGTAACAGCGATCGTCTTACAAACGTGTGATATAATGTGGGCAATATGTCTTGTTTATTTTGTTGCTAAGCCCGCCCCGTCCCGTAGAGCCCCATACAATATGAATTGCGCACCAGTCAGCACTAACCAATAGCGTTAGACGTGTGCTTACGTACAAACGTCAATCAGAGCGCGCTCGAGTGTTTGAGGACACACCTCAGCTGATGCAGAGTTACGATTGCTCATGGACAAGTACGTCTTTAAAAACTAAATATAGGAAAACACAACATAACATGAACCTGGAACCAGACAGAATGGAGGTGGGACAGATTAGGAAAAAAGACAACTTCCCCCTTCGGCCTTTTAAAAAGGAGAAACATGGCATCCCCCCACTGTTTCAATGTAACCTTCCTTCCAACACGATTGAGACAGACTGTTTTGTGATTATTTCACTGTAAAAGACTTACTTCTTGCCTTTTAGAGTATTTAAACATTAAGATTAAAAAACATGTTGACTAGTATTCAGAAAACCATCATTGGTAATCATTTCTGTAAACATATTTGATAAATTGTCCTAATGCTGCTGAAACTCATTTTACTGCTTTGATATGTCCATTTTTGTCCTCTAGAAATATTCTCAGCTCTTGGGGCAGAATCTACTCAGGTTCTAACGAATGAAACACAAAGTTCACCTGATGAAGGTTCTGAAGGCGGTGGGACCGAGGCGCATGTTGTCCTTGACCCCGAGGAAGCGTATGAACAGAGCAGTGATTCGCTCCACCAGCCGCAGGTAGTTGAACTCTTTGGAGTACTTTGGGTAGACCTGCTTCAGACACAGCGATGGCAGATTCTCGTCTGGACTCCTGCCCTGAGACTCAGAGTCCACCGGGATCTCCTCTCCATGTTCAAACTCACCAGCCTTCAGCTGAGGACTCCTGATGAAAATAACAGAGTGTTACTCCCAAGCCCCCACAATGCGGCTCTAAAATTGGTCACAACCCGGAAGTACCAAAAATTGCAGTTCCACCCTCATCCACTGGGGGCTGGTGTCAGAAGCGAGCAAATCCTCATTGACTCCCAAGTTAAAAATACCAATTTCACAGCAGAAATAAACATGTTTACAGCCTGGTACCAGAACATGTTTCTTTGTTTAAATTATGTAGTTGACGCTCATGACAACTCTGAGGGGGCAAATTTTTTCTCACTCTTCTGTTTAAGTGTATTAAAAGCCTAAAATTCTGTATAATTAATGAGCATCCGACCCACGTAATCACAGAGCTAGCTCCGTGGAAAGGCCTCAGTAGAGCCTCGGTCTGGCTTAGAAACTGCTCCGGGATTTTGAGTCTCTGTGTTTGTGTATTCTTTTTTGGATATTTTTTTGTGCAACTGTTGGACAAAATGACTTGTTGTGGCATTAATTGCACTAATAGAGCATCCAAGGAGTCTCCACTTAATTTTTTTCGGTTAGTAAAATTATATTTATGTATTTTAGGTCACTGCCAAGCTGAGCTTAGATTTTAACATGTACTGTTTAACCATGAAATTTAAATGTAATAGGGTAAAACCCAGTGCATTTAACATAATGCTGCATTTTAGAAAATGGGTTGAAATATAACATGTTGGTGGAGCTGGGTTCCGACTATCGGCTTGTGGAGCTCTCGGGAGACCGATGTTTTCCACCCGGAATGCCGGCTGTTTCTCCCCGCAGCCCGGTCCATCTCTGTCTGATCGCGGCTCCTGTTAGCTGCGCGGACTGATGGCTGGTTCTCCCAGCAGCTCGGCGCATCTGTCTGATTGCGGCTTCTGTGTGCTGCGCGGGCTGACGTGGAGCTCTGGGATGGAAACCTTTCCACAGGTCTCGGAGACCTCTGTGTTCCACCCGGTTTTACCCAGCGGTCAGCCCGGCGTATCTCTGACTCAGAAGCTCTGGTGTTGTGCACAGTTAACTCCGGTTGTAGCTAGGTTGCTACCTCCGTTAGCTTAGCTCCCACCTCCGCATTAGCTTTGGGTTAGCTTCAGGTTAGCTTGTAGCTAGTTCGACCGGGTGTCGTCAGTTGATCCCAGCCTTACAGCCCCACCCTCAGCTCCTCCTCTCTTCCCTTTTATGGAATTGTCTGGGCTTGACGGAACCTGTGACATGGTCAAAATGGCGGTGGTGGCCACCTCCCATTTTGGCACAAAAACTTGTTATTGGGGTCTATGGAAACCCATTGTCCACATATTAATGTCGATGGTTACTCCTCAGACTCACTCAATATTTTCTTCTTTGTTTGTTCTTTACTTATTTATTAATATTTATTTCTCGTGTTTTTTGCACCAAGAAAACACAACTTGGCGTAAAAATCCAAAATAAATTATTTTTGTTAGTTCCATTGTTTACTATTTATAATTACAGATTTTTACACATGGAGTCTTTCTTTTTCACAGTGAATAAACCAACAGTTTAAAAAAACAAGGAAATATATTTTTCCTGAATGTCTTTGTAGAAGCTGTGCAGACACAATCAGGTCCACTCAGCTTTAAAGGTAATCGGCCATAACAGTGATTAATATTGGTATTTGCCCATAAAAACTCTTATCGGTGCATCCCTAGTTACAATCAAATGTTTCGCTGTTGGAAAGAAGAATTACATAAGTACTGATTACAGTGGTGGTGTGTAATTTAAAAAATAAAATAACAATTGGAATGTTTATGGAAAATCAAATCTTCAGTATTGGAACCAGATTGCATCATATCCTCTTTTACCCAAAATAAAAGAAATTCATTTTAAGATGATTAATGATTATCCTGAATGTTTGAGGTTAACATTTCATGTGGACAGCAGTGAATAATTGTTTGAAAGTTGTTAATAAAGATTTTTTTTAAAAGCACAAACAGCGACCAGCATCCTGGCATGCGTCACGGTTGATGATGCAACGCTCACTGACCGGCTAATATTTGCACACTTGTGTACTACACACTCGAAGCCTTACTTTCTCCAAGTGCACTCTGCTGAGGACCCTAGGGTGAAAGGAGAGTCTTGGTTCTTTGGGTGACGAAATTCTCCCAAACAAACTTTTAATAAAAGTGCAACATGAAGGAGAACCACAGCAGAATTTATGAAGCACAAACTTCAAAGAGACCAGAAATACAGGCGAAACTCAAAAAAAACTGACAATCTTGCAAAAGTTCATCTATTTCTGTTATTTAATTTAAAATCTGAGTTTAACTCATTCCATGCAAAGCCAGATATTCAAGCCCTTTTTTTTTTAGAATTGTGATGATTATGGATTACAGCGTATGAAAACCCCAAATTCAAAACATCAAGACATTTGGAATATTGTGAAAAGGTTCAATATTCCTGACTCAAAGTGCCACTCTAGTCAGCTAATGAATCCAGAACACCTGCAAGGGGTTCCTGAGCCTTTAGGTCTCAGTTTAGCCACAAATGTGCCAAAATTTTAAGATATTAAGCTTCCAAGCAAGTAGGAAGAGACAGGAAATACTTAACTCTAAACCAACGCAGTTCGCCTCATTTCCTTTCCCTTTGCAGGACATTTAGGTGAATCTCTGCTTTTACCTCTCGTGATGGCTCGTAAATCACTTTCAGAGACGACATACACAGGATTAATGAGCTGGCTGTAAGCCGTACATATCTGAGAGTCACTGATACTGTCACACACTTCCTCTCATAATTCCTCATTTATCTCTCTCCTTTCTCTAGAAAGTGACACTTGTGTTCTATTATTCTCTACGTTTCGTATCTTTGTTTCTTCTACATTGCAGGGTTTTCTCTCTCTATAATAACATTTTTGTTTGCTTCTCACCTTTTCACTTTTTTAACAAATCCAGTTCCTACTGAGATGAATTTAGACTAAACTCTGTTTTACTCGACTGAATCCAACCCAACTCACTACAGACCAGATACCAGCAATCAGTAGACAGGCCATGTATTAACCAAGTATACGGTTGTGCAGT